GTCTCCAAAAGTTGGCATTCCCCCGAGTACCTTTTCAGCAAAAGCAAATGCCGCATGCCACACTCCTGCCTCGCTCTTGCCAAAACGTGCCAATCCCTCCCCCCCCCACCAAGTTTTGGATCTTGGTTCTGAAAACAGAACGCCGCCATGCCAGGGGGCGGGAGAGGAGCGTTCCTGTCACTTTCCTGCCCACCCCTCCCCTTCCATCTCCCGCGACATTCATAAAAGTACAAGAGCAGAAGTACGGCTGGCCCTGGCATTCTGTCAAGGAATTAATTGAAAAATAAAATCATTAGATGGGGGGACTCCAGAAATGCAAAATTGTTTGATCGAAGATGGAGGAGGCGGATGTGGCAGGGTGGGGTGGGGGGGGGCTGGATAGCACAGCTTTTGTCAGGTTAATTTCTCCTGTATTGATGTTTTGTGACATTTACTTGTTGTTTATCTTTGGAAGCAGCTGTAATGTTGGAAGAAAACGCAGCAGCTTTCTTCCCCATGTTTATTTTACAACCTTTCCCAGAGTCCTGCATGTACATTTATTTGTTTGTTTGAGCAGGGTGTTTTGATGGCTGAGATCGGGCTTTGAACAGCTGTTCTCCACATGGAAAGCTGCTTTTTGAAATGCAGGGAAATGTAAGAGGACAGCATGGCGAGGGAGGGAGTTCATCCCCCCCCCCCCCGAACTTCAAGCACGTCACAATCACAGTGGGCTTCCCTAATTCACTTGAGACTTGGTTGAGCCTTGTAAATAATCAATGAGGAAAGTATATCAACTTATATTGTTGTATAGTTCAAAAAAACCCACTTGACTCTTTTCTTGGAGCCCGTCTCCCCCGGAACTGCGGGGGGAGGTGTTGTGATGTTATGGAATGTTAATAAACATTCGCAGTCTCTGCAGGGGAAGAAAGATCAGTAGTGGGATGTACACAGAATCTGCAAAATGTGAAAAAATATGGGGAGGGGCTAAAGAAGGGGAGATGTTCTGAGCTGTGGACCGAGAAACGGGGTAAAGAAAAGTGTGTGGAGACAGACTGAAGAGGCAGGAAGCAAAAGTCAGAGGAGCCAAGGGCTGAGGAAGAGAGGAAGGCATGAGGCGCTGGGGAAAAGTGGGTTTGTGTTTGATGGGAGGAAGAGGAGGAGGAAATTCTGGGCCAGGGATCGTGGGGAAAGGAGCAAAAGACATGATGTTAACTTTATTCATTAAAGTTAAACTTTATTCATTAAGTTAACATCATTAAGTTAACAACATAAAAGAGCAACAGCTTTGACTGGTTAGGGGTGCAGGGCATGTTTAGACAAACACCCTACAACTCCCAGCATGCCCCAGTTAGCTATGCTGGGAGTTGGTAGGACTTGTTTCTGTCCAAACATGCATTGGAGCCTAAATTACTTTTCAAAGGGTTCTGGATCATGATTCCAGTCAGGTGTCGATATTAATGTCTCAAGTTCAGGTGAGAGGAGATTCAGAATGTTTAGACTATCCTGGCTTGCATGTGTCTGTTCAGGTTTCTAGGCCTCATGGTGGCTGTGAAGATATTTCCCAGTGTCTGAAGCCATATAGCTGAGCTGGTATGGGCCCCACTGTCTTTCCTTATGACTAACAAGAGCAGAATACCAAGAAGCAAATACCTTTCCTGAGATTGTCTTTAAGCTGAATTTGTATGCAAGTGGGATCATATATATAAAAAGCCATCCGGAGACTCCACTAGGAGTAGAGGGGTGGCATATAAATGCAAAAGTAAATAAATAAAGGGCATGCAAGGTCAAACGAGAGGTTTGCTCTGCACTGCCGCAGTCAGTCCGGAGGCCCGCTGGTGGGGGAGCTTCCCAGCTTTTCCTTCATTAATGTTTTTCACCTAAGACAGCAGACGACTGATTGAATCTTGAGTTGTTCCAAGCCAAGCATGGCACCTGTCGCCAACCTTCAGCCTCTCCCTTGAAAGGGAATTCAAGTCTGCAGAGTAAACATGCATGCAGATCAGGGCTCACCTGCCTAATGCTATGCAAGCAGCAAAATTCTTCCATCTATAATGGCTTTGTTTTAGCAAAGAATCGGACCGAGTCATAAGAATCCCATGTGGTGTAGTGACTAGGAGTGCTGGACTAGGACTCCAGAAGCCCGGGTTGAAATCCCCACTGGGGAGTGAAGCCCACTGAGCAGGTTTGGGACCACGGCCAAGTCACAGCCTCACCGGCCTCCGAAGACTCTTGCGGAGGGCAGAGCAGGGTGCCTCAAGGAGCCCCTATGCCGCCTTGGCCTTCTTGGAGGAGAAGGCTGGGTAGACTCCTAACCAAGAAATAAGTAGCAGTTAAAAGAAACCGGACAGCCACCTGAGCGGGGTGGTGTAACGTGGTGTCCTGCAACAGCAGGGGGCTGGACTCGATGGCCTTCATGACCCCTTCCGACTCTACTGTCCCATGATTCTGGGAATTTTCCTGAGTTGTCCACTGGCCATCCAGAAAAGCCACTGGTGTAGGGCAAAAGCCCCACATGGATCCCTCGGTAACCCTGGCTTTGCTTCCAGGCACCCCAAAATACCAGCACTCCTGAAATGCAGGGCCACTTGAAGGATTGGGCCGATGATCCAGGTCAAGCCAAACAAGGGAGAGTCCTTCTCACTGTGCCCCAGGATGTGACAGGGGCTGTTAAATGGCTGGGTGGAGGAGGAGAAATCGGTAGCAGATGCCAGCCACAGTAGCTCCATGAGAGCCTTCATGTTCAGGGCAGTGTAGCATCGCGTGCATGAAAGATGGCTGGATCGAGCCGTCCCTGGGCCACAGTCCATCTTCCTCAGCCACTGTGGAAAATAGCACGGGCCTTCATCCCGGTGACCTAACTTCCCGGTGCCCCAACTGTCTCACGCCACGCAACCCGCGTGCCTGAGCAGCCCAGCTGCACGAACAGCCAGGTGTGGGCCATCCCTGTGACGGCGACATCTGTCCTTGCCCTGGGAAGAACACTCGTGTGGGAAGGAATCTGCCAGGGCGACCCTCCTGCCTCAGTTCCCCTGGTGTTAGCGGCCCCTCCGACTGGGCTGGGCGGGGGGCTGCTTCTCCCCTAGTTGAAACATCAGGCAGCCTCGCCCGCTCCCTGTGCGCTTCTGCGTTCCTCTGCCCCATCTTCCTTTCCTCCCACCAGCAGCTGCGGCAGTTGCTGTGCTCTCATTACCTCACCCCAGGCTCAATTTCCAGCAGTCTTTGTGAACTGCCAGCGCCTTGTTGTCGTTACGGAGAATAAGTGATTGCTGACAGTTTGATTGGGGGGCAGGCAGAGAGAGCAGTGGTGCATGGAGCCCAGGACTGGAGAGCGCCTGCTCAAAGAGACGGCGAGGCCCCGGCGCCTCTCCTTGCAGGATTAGCCCAAGCCCCGTTGGCATCTGGGCAGGCTGTCTAACGGGTCGTGCCCGGTGTTTATTAAAAGAAGGGGTTCTGGTTAGGGGTTCAGATGTTCTTCTGCCGTGATCCCCACAGGCGCGAACAGAAGCAAGCTGTGTGTTCCGCGTCTCACGTTCATCAGGATTGGGGAGGCAGTGGCTGAGCTCGTGAGAATGGAGGAGATCCGAACCAGGAACTCCACGTTTCTCCCGGCACAATCTCATCTTAGCCGTAATGCTGATTTCAGAAACCTGCCGAGCCCCAGCTTGGACCCACTGAAGTTGGGGGTGGAATCAAGGTGCAGGAGGCAGAGAACCCAGGCTCGATCACAAGGTTCTCCAGTCACAAAGCAGGGCACAAGTAATCGGAAAAACTCCACCCACAGTCTTGGGGAACCTTAGGCATGGGTCCATATCTGGGCTTCCTTAGAATCTGTTGCTTTATTTTATTGCATTCTTATTCTGTCCAAAAGCTGAAGCTGTCTGGGTGGTTCACCACAATTAATAGCCATTTGAAACACAAAATGCAGAACAAACCACAGTATAACATAATAAAGGCTACAGTATAAAATAGAAGTGGGAAATAGAGTAAGATGCAGCAGCAGTGCAAAGAGTTTTAAAATGCAATACCGAATTTAAAACCAAAAGGAAACTAAAATTTCCTGGGATGATTCCTGAGAAAAAGGTCTTTGCACAGTCCCAGAAAGAATACAATGTAGGTACCAAGTGAGCCTCCCTGGGAGGCCCATTCTAAAGTCAGGGTGCCACAACTGAAAAGGCCATCTTTCCAGTAGACACCACCTGACCTCTTTTGGCAGTGGTTCCCTCAGGAAGACTGCTGAGGATGGTCTTAGGGTCTGGGCAGGTATATATGGGAAGAGATGATATTTCAGGGCACCTGGTCCAAAGCTGCCTAGAGCTGTTCACTGGAGGTAGATTATCCCTGTCCAGGTAAGGAAGTGGTTGGTTTATCAGTCTAAGCTGATAAAGATGCACCATGCAAACAAGTCCACCAGCCTACGCAGGTGCACCCCAACTATGAACCTCGAGAGGGTGACCCCTCCAGAACAGGCTGCTTAAATATCACTCATTCAGTCAGCGACTCCTCTACTAACAGTGCCTCTGTCCTGTCTGGATTGCGTCTCACTTCATTGGCCCTGCACTCAGCAGGCTCGGTGTGGAAGCTGGGATCCCTTGGAGCTGTCCTTCTGGAGGTCTTCAGCACCACATCTGAGGCCACTTCCATCAGCTCAGGCACAGAGTTGGCGAACTCCCTTCTCTTGTCTCCGGTACCCAACACAAAGTACCAACACTCAAAATCAGCGCTCAGACAGAATTTGGATTCCTGGCTGTCAACAGCTGAAATTTTGACCTGGGAGGTTGGGTACATATACATGCAGTTGCGTTTCTTCTCAGTCCCTTCCAGGTACTCAACATCCTTCATGGAACAAGGAGCTGGAACACAAGGGCTGTTTTTTTCTGTGATCTAGATCCTACAAGCCCTACTAAGTCACTGAGGTTTTGTTGAAAGAGGGTCTTTGGTTCTGCTGGTGGGCAGATACAGGACAATGATGTTGTCTTCTTTTGCTCTCACTCCTTCAACCTTGTCGTTTTGGACCCATACAGAAACGCCAACCAAGAAGAAGAAGCGGTCAGCTGCCCTAGAAGAAATCTTGGAGAAGATGGAAGATGAAGGAGAGAATGAAGACGATACCTAGGACCCCTGCCACAAAACTATAAGGTAGAGGGTCAGCTGTCAGGTGTCATAGAATGTTCTTCCTTCAAGGAGCATTCCATCCTATAAGCCTATTCTCAAGCTGCAGCTTGGCATTGTACAGCCCAGGGGAAGCCTGACCCCTTGAGAAAGGCGGAGGCGGCTGCGGATCATCCCTCCACGCTCTTCCCTCTTAAAATTTTAGCAGGTTTTACAAGTTAGTCGTGTTCTTCATTGGTTTCCAGGAACTGGCATATCTGTGGTTTTCACAGGAAAACCTAGAAAAGGAAGGAATTAGTCTGGTTGTTTTCACAGAGTGGGGAGATAGAGGGCATCTTGCACAGATGAAGCAAACGCAGCAGGTCTCCCTGAGAAGACAGCAGGTCAAACTCTGTCCTGGAGAAGCAGAAGGGGAAAGATGATCACAACTGTCAGTGCGGGCGCTGCAGGTCTGTGGGGCGCTGCAGGTCAGCCTGCGCCTTGTCTCCGTCACATTATCCGGCTGCTGTGAGAGACGGTTCCCCTTGCTCCGGTTCCCCTTTCCCCGCTGGGCTGCTTTTTCCTCTCATCGCCTTAGAAGCACGTTTTCCGGCTCCCACCCCATGCCACCCACGCTCCCCCACTGATCCCGCGCAGGAGATGCTTGTGCCACTCACCCTTGTGCGCGGCAGCTCCGAGCCCGCCTTGCGCTCGCCGAGAGCACAGCTGCACCTCCTCGCCGGTCCTTGCCAAATGCCGGGACGCTGCCCGTCCCCTCCAGCAGATGATTGGGCTCCTTTGCCGGCGCCGTCTGGGCGCTCAGGCAGCCAACCACCTTTCTAATGCACCCGCCTCATTTGCAGCTGTGCAGAGAGAGAGAGAGAGAGAGAGAGAGAGAGAGAGAGAGAGAGAGAGAGAGGATGTGGCATCTGGCGCTGTCCCGATGAAAGAGAAGATGCTGCTGGATTCCAGCACTAATCCCTTACCAGGTTAAGCCATGGCTCGCCTCCCACTGGAATAAGTTTAGGGGCCCTGCAGTGCGTTGTGCCCTTCTGGAAGAGCTCTAATTCTAGGGTACCTCGAGATGTCTGGGCCCCCTGACACCTTCCTCGAGAGTGCACAGCTTGGCTGAGAAAAGGGCGGGGGGAGAAGACAGCAGCCAGTTTAAGGTAGGAGCAGCTCTCCGTGTCGACAGCGAAGGGTTCAGAACATGCCGGGCAGCCAGTGAATGAAAGGCGACACAATGACCCAGCTCTGGCCGCAGCCCCGCACCGTGGGGCCTGCAGGCAGCACGAGGGTTACATAAATGGACAACGAGGGCTGCTGGCAACCCACACGGAGCAGGATTCGTGCGTGGTGCATGCCACAATTCTGCCGGAGCGCAGGACCAAAACAAAGCAAGCCAGACGTCGCAGCTTTGCGCACAAGTGGCGAATGGAGGACGGGGCTTGTTGAGCAGGAAGCACTGCCACATTCAGGGAGCGAGGACAAGGATCTTATCGATAGCAGCAGTGAAGGGTTTATTCATATGTGATTTATTTTGTAGCTGGCCTCAATAGGAACAGTCGGTGCCCCCTTCTCAGTGGCCCCGCGTCCACTTCCTTGACCTGCTTGGATGCCGCCTCATTCTGTGCCAAAAGACATTGCAGGAGGAAAAGGAGAATGGCTCTGGTTGCTCCTTTTGCCACGAGTGACAGCCTCATAGACCAGTGATACAGGAACACTCCGTGTGTTCTGTGGGGAGGGCCAGAGCACAGGGAAGGGTTTCCAGCTTCGATCCTTGGCTGGAAGAGTGTCCAGTTTCGATCCTTGGCCCCTCCAGGCAGAGCCAGGAAAGGCCCTTCCTATAGCCTGAGTGAGCTTGGCTCACGCTCTGACTCTGCACAGAGCAATTTCCTGTCATCTTGGGTTGCTTAAACAGCTGGACCTCCGACGCAGATAGAGCGGTGATCCAGCAAGTGCCCCTGGAACCCATGCAAGACAGGGCAGCTGGGATTCCGATGGTGCCCCACAGGCCTTCAGCAGTGGGTCATCAAGAACATGAAAATCATGCGCTTGCTAGCACATGGGCTGGGATGGAGGGGGGCTAACCACAGAACAGATATAGAATCCATGCAGACAGACCTATGGAAACTAAGTTTCATCCCACGAATTGCGATGCCAGTGCCCTGCCAGGAGAACAGGGGCTTGGCCACTGCCGGCGTAGCTGCGCAGCACTTGAGCTGGGGCCCAGAATGAATGTACGGAGCGCAATCCTGCATAGCTGCGCCACGGGCTGCTGGCGTCTTCGTCTCCCACTCCCGCACGCATTGTCTGTCATGGCGGGGCGCATCGCTCACCGCGAAGGAGAGTCTCTGTGCTCCGCAGCGGCGCAGCGAAGGATTAGTGCAAGCAAAGCAGGTAGGCGTTCGCGAACAGATCCAAGCCTGGTTTCAACATCTAATTCAATTTGTTCTGCCGAGACTGAAATGCGAAATGCTTGCCAGTCAGATGTTCAAAGGCGCATGGGTTTTGTTGCGGGGGGTGCCAATGGGGGCAGGGAAGAAGAATGGATAGGGAGCCATTCTGAAGCTTACATTTTTATAAAAATAAATGTAACACTTTGATTCCCCCCCCCCCCCATCCACCCAAATGCTCATTGGGGGAAGGGGTCCTTTTCAGCCTTAATGAAGACTTTTCCCCCTCCCTTGAGTTAACGATGCTTATCTACTTCAGCAGGATTTGTCTGGAATCTTTTTGGCTAATAATTGATGTCTCAAAGGGATTGCTTTGCAACTAGGGCGCACATGTTAGCCTGCCCAATAATTTAATTTTTTTAAAAAACCAGTTCATTGAATTTTTAATGCATTGCTGAAATACAATGCAAACCCTAAATCCCTGTCCTCTCCCTCTAGCTTTCCCCTCTCCTTGAAAGTTCTTTCCCGAGCAAAGAATGAGACCTGCTTGATTAAGTTGTTCATGGGGCAGCGGAGGAGGAGGATTAGGTCATCCCTGGAAATAACCCATGCCGATTGAATAGGGTGAAAAGTTGTCAGTCAGTTACACTAGAGTAGACCAGCTGGTTCTTCGTGGGTGGCTTTAGAACTTAAAATATGAGTGTGCCGATCCTCCAGGAACTTGTGGGCGAATGGAAGGCACAACTGGGCCGGTTCCCCTTTTGGCCTTTGGTCTTCTTTTCTTCACGTGTCACCCTTCTGAGCAATTTACTTTTGAGCACATCTGGTGGAGTTGTGGAAACAGGAGCTGGGAAGTCTCAGGAAGATCGCAACCTCTGGGGTTGTTTAAGGGAGGCGCACCAAATTACGTGCAGTGTGGAGAAAGTGGATCGGGAGGCGGTTTCCATCCCCTCTCTCAGGATAGCAGAACCCGGTTGGGCCGGTTGACTGATGCGAGGTTCGGGACAGGAAGGAAAGATTTCTTCACATCAGGAACACGTAAGCAATAGCATTTGCAGCCGCGCCGGCTACCACTTTGGAGGGGCTTTGAAAGGGCCTGGCCCAGATCCACGGAGGAGAAGTGGATCCTCCGTGGCCAGTCCTTGGTAGGCTGTTGCCCAGTCACTGGCGCTGACAGGGCTATGCAGCCTCGTGGGTCAGAGGCCGTGTGTGCCATGTCTGGCAAGGGAGCCATCTCGGGGTTTCTGGCAAATTCCTGGTTGGCCACTGGGTGAAGAGAAAGCTGGGCCGTGGCTTGATGCAACGGGCTGTTCTTTTTACGCTGCTGTGGATTCTCAGCACCGGCCCTCCCCACCCCTTTCTCCCTCATTGGCACACCCACCCGAGGTTGGAGCGCAGCCTGAGATGCGGAGGACAGGGTGGTCCTCTCCACATGGAACAGCCTCTCTGAGATGCTCTCTTGAAGACATCAACCTTCCGGACGTTTTTCTTGATGGCTGCCATTTTTTTGATCCCTAGAGTCTTTCCAGATTTTGAAAAAATGCTTCCCACTTTTAAGGAAGTGTTGCTTTGTTCACTTCCTGTAAAAAGTTTCTCCTAGAGCATGAATCTGTGCACAAACGACCTTCGGAAATCCTGCAACGGCCTTGTGAGCAGAGATATTGACCCCGAGGGTGTGGAATGGGCTTCCACGAGAGGTCGTCGAGGCCCCATCAGTGCGGGTGTTCAAGGACAGGCTGGACGTCCACATGGTGGGCATGTCGTGAGCGGAGCCGGCTGGAGCCGGGGGTCAGACTAGATGGCCCGGGAGGCCCCTTCTGACTCGCTCTGTTTTCTATGTTTCTATATTGGGCTGACAGTGTCACGGAGCAGCTCCAAGGGAAGGCGAATTCCTCAAGTGCTTTCTCGGAAGCAGAGCTCACCCTTCGCGGTCATCACAGTGTGGCAAGCGGAAACAGCTGCAAGTGGGTTGGCGGCCAAGTTGCAGTGGCGCATGTGTCACCATGCCCCGTATCTAGCATCAGCCTGGGACGTGTGCGGGGAGGAACAGTGCCCCTCCAGAAGGGTGGAGAGAATTCAGGAGCAGCCAGAAGTGCCCCATGTGCATCTTCTTTCTGTTCTACATCTTGCAGCCTCCCTGGTCCAAAAAAACACCCTGGGGAAAGATTTCTTTGCTTTCTCTGGGCTTTAACTGAAGTATGGGAAGTCAAGGAGGCTGCCGGAGGACTGAGTGCATAGCGAAAGGCAGGCCCCTGCGCACACTCCTTGGCCTCCTCATGAGCAAGGCAAGCGCAAGAACTCTGCATCTCTTCTCTTTTCCAAAGTCATCTCACTTTGCTCAAACCATGGGAAAGGCTGGAACAGGGCCGGGGTGGGAGTTTGCGGAAATTTAAATGTGTCGCACTAGTTAGCGTACACATTCATACCCGCCCTGATCTCACTTAACTGTCGTGGTTGAGCTTTCCATCTAAATCCTGTCACTGGAGTTTGGCGGGATGCTCACTGCTTAGAGAACATTCTTGTCCACATCCCCAGTTAGGAATGAATCGACTTGTTCAAGAGCATAGCTGTTTATCCCAGAAGATGGGAAAAAGGGGAATCATAGAATAGTAGATTTGGAAGGGGCCATGAAGGCCATCGAGTCCAACCCCC